GCTCCAATACTGTACTGAGTCGCGAAAGCTATGAACGAAATGGTGGAATAGGCGGCACGAGGAGTGCAGCTAACGGCAATCAGGAAACAAAGCAGGTCGATGTGGGTGAGTGAAAAGTGTCTAGAAATTTTTGATAAAATATTCACAAAGCATTTTGTTGAGGGGAAAATGATTAGCGAGTTAATTAGAAACTCTTAAAATTTTTCGAAAAACTTCCAAATACATAGATACTTTATGGCAATAATCACTATTTGAAGCTCTTCTAACCTCGCCAGAACCAATGCCTATGCCATTAACAAAAGCTACTTCAAAGTTACTATAAAGTGCGCTACAGCCCATCTGTAAAGTCCTCTAGAGTATTTTAACGCAAACGCTTTCTGTCGACTTCATGAAATAGGGTGATTATTTTGACATAAGTAAACAATAATTCGAGGGAGCAAAGCATTGTGTTTGACTCGCAAACGCGCCATGAATATTTTCCAACTATCGAGCTGAGGATGATGGTTTGTTAATATTTTTTGAGAGACTTTATTAAGACTTTTAAAATTTGGAAAGCTTTTCCCCTGCCATTAGTTATTTTTCAATGACACGATGACCTTCGGAAAGAGTCACCATCATCAAGCATTGTCTCCAGTTCACTCGGCAGGAAAGACGAGTATTTTTGTCTTGAAAATTTTATATAGTGGATAAGAGTTTCGGCGTCTAGCAATGCAGCCAACTCACTCACGCCTTCTCACCCAAATTTTTTGCAGAACTTTATAGCTCAACCAACCACTGACGCAAAACCGTAGACCATGTCAGCTGACACGACCTATCGCATCGTGTTAACGAAAACTTACAACTAGTGAGGTTGTCGTTGCTTCTCTCTCCCTCTATCAACAGCGATTTAATATGTTCATACGGACGGCAGGTACGGAACGGCGTTCCGGAAGTTAGGAGCGAAACTTCTAAGCAGGAAGCTAGTGAAATTGGCGAAAAGCTAAATTTTTTTCAGTGAAAGAGACAAAAATCATTTTTTTAATAGAAGGCTGTTTTTTATCATTTGGTGATTAGCTAAATTATACGCAAGTAAACCAAAGCACGTACAAAACTTTATCAGATTTTACAAATTTAGCAAAAATTCTTCGGGTACAATCTTGCAGCTTCTCACAAAGACAGAACCTGATTTAATCTCTTATTTGTACTCTCATTTGCCAGAGATCCGAGTACGGAAACGCAAAATCTTGCAACTTCTGGCGTATTGTGAACTCAATTAAAAATTGCACTCACTTTTAAAAAAGCATAGGTCAAAGTATTTAAATCAAATTGATTCAGTAATTCCAAACACATAACTGCCGGTATTCTAAGTTTTAGATCGAAAAGTGCCTTAAGAAATTTTCTAGCTGTATGGATCCGTCGGGACGACCAGTTACGATTGTGCCAAGTGATCATACACCGTTAATTTCCGCTTGGCTGTCAGAGTAGATATTTACTCTTCTGCTCGGTATTACAATAGCTCGCAGCCAGTCAACTTTCTCCATTATAGCGGCAACCTCTATTTAAAATACACTGCGAAGAGCCAGAAGCATAAGCTTGAGATCAACAGAGACTTTCTAACAGAACAGACCTTTCCAATTCTACCATACATCTACTTGTCCACGACCGTGGCTGCCAGCATAGCTTCTTGTCCAGTACCACATTCAAATAATCGACACTACAAGAGAGCAAAATAGTAACGCCATCGATCGTGGAAAGATATTTAATAATTATAACCTGGCAAAGTAGCAGGTCCGCAGTTAACAGACGAATTTGGAATTATATCATATAGCGTGTCCGGAGTCATTCCTGTGACGGTGAGTGCCACTTCGGAGCTCTCATGTGATTTTCGCATAACCTTAGTCGTGGTTTTCAGTGCTTTAAGTCACTACTTAATATTAACTCTACGACGACGTTATTTAAATATTTCATATGTAAGTAGATTCCCAACTACAGCGAAAATATACCCTTGAGATCCGATAACCACAGTCGTTATGTTCAACATAAGAGTAAGCACTTTTTGGTCTCTGGGAGGGTTTCCATTCTTTGTCGATATCCTTCCCTCACAATTTTAATATTACGAGTATCTCAGAGACTATATTTTGCAAAACCCATTTAAATTCTTTATTTCTATTAAATAAAGGACAACCCCGTCCCACTACGGCGCCTGCTCAGTGTAGCATAACGCGAAACTCCTCGGAGGAAAGTGAAGGCGTAGATGAAGAAAAACTATATTTGGATCGCTCAACATCAGAGAAGGGTAATAGGGTAAGTGCCAACAAACAGACGGCAGTGCACTTAAATTAGTAACATACATTTTTTGCATTTGCAGTTTAAGGACATTAATACCTGTTCAAGCAAAACATCCTCACCAGGCAGCTCCATAA